AAAAAAAAAAAAAAAAAAAAAAAAAAAACTACACAAAAAAAAAAAAACACTATTAGGGTTAAAGACTTATTGGGTTAATCGTCACAATGCAGTGAAACAAAGTTGAATTCTTGTAGAGAATTAACTTTAGAGTCGGAGAAAAAAAAAAGAATTGAATGATTGATGCAAACAAAGACTTGAAATAGAATAGGTTTAATTTAAGCAGTGCAAAGTTGAAATAGAATAGGTTTAATTAAGCTGTGCAAAAGGTTGCTTGCTTTAGCTTTTAGGTTAGTAGTTCTTTAATTAAGAAGTTATTTATAAATAAAAAAAGTAAAGAAAAAAAAAAGGAAAGCTGAGAAGGGTCATATTTTAATAATAATTTATATACAAAGAGTAAATAGTAATGAATGCAGGGTTATTTATGGAATTTCAGGAGGGTCAGATGACCCTTGTGGGCCTTCATTGGCTCCGCCCTTCTCTAGATCCCAAGGTACCTTCTTCTCTTGTTCTTATTCATCATATTTTTATGTATCATATTTAAGATAAAACTTAAAAACAAAAAAGGAATTTATGTGAAGATCGTCTCCCTTGTGTTCTCTGCCTGGCTAAAAGTTTGATTGGGTGCTATATGAAATCAATGGCTTAGTCTGAAGGCACCACTATACCAGTGAAATCAAACTATTTCGTCATTTTGTAATAATTTTTTCTCGCTAAATTTCCCATATAAGATAAAATTCCATTCTCGAGATTTCTAAAGTATGACAAAGCCTTGTCGCCTATGAGCCTTTGCATTATATTTTGCTGCAACTGATGTGCAAGAAACTTGGCCGGCAGTAGAATCTGCTTTAGCAGAGTTTGGCATGGCATGTGAATTGGATATGGTACAGTATAACAAAAGTTGTTTATAAATCTATTGAATTTATTTTCATTTTTGGTTTTGCTGCAGTCCGTCTGTCAATTATTTTTTTCCTGGAAACAAATCTAAGTTATTAAACTCTAAGCCCTAACCGCTAGGCTATGAAGAGTCAAACTAAAGACGTGTCTGTAATGCTGGGAATATGCAAAATCTCTTGTATGGTGTGCGGGATGAATATCTCAAGCAGAAGAAACTTCTCATGGTTATCCCCGAAAAGGTGCATATATAAAGTGTTGGTAGATCGAGTTTAGTTCTTGCTGCTTGTCTTTTCTCTCGTATCTTCTGACTGACAATATAATTGGGATGTAGGAACTTGGACAATTCACAAGCTGTGAAGTGTATGTCCACCCGAAGGAAGGTTAGTGTTCCTTTCTCTTTGTCTGTATTTTTTTTTTCTGGCCTTCCCACCTCCACCTTCAGGTGGACAAAAACTCTCACTGCCATAGCACTGTTTGGGATCCTCAATCAATTACGTGATAGCAGAATAGGTTCTATCCCGTAACATGCAAATTCTTTTCCGTATGAAGCAAGAGAATGATGAGTTTAATGCATTTAAAAAAAAAAAACTGAATAGAATGACCTGGTTGCCGCTATAGGTCCAGTGGAAAGGTTGAAGATAGTCAGGACGCTCGTGACAGACAGCATTGCTCATAATCCCTTATCCCTTAAGCACGTATGAACTTGAAGTTCAAAGGTTGAATAGCAATGTCAACCGCGAGGCCGGGCAGCAAGTCAAGTTGAAGAAGCCGGTGCAAGACCCAATTCCAAACGATGTCGACCACCACATCCCCAGGGAGATCGAAAACTCTGGCTCTTTGTCCTATGAACACTTTGACCAACTCATCGTAAACCTTCTCCTCCTGTTCTCATTCTTTTCTTTTTGTGTTAGGTTGCATGTAAATTTACGGAGAGACCCCCTCCTTTGCCTCCGATGTCGAATCCCCTCCCCCCATCTTTCTCTCTCCTCCCCACTCCTCTTTCCCTCTTTCCCCCTCTCTTTGAGCATTCAGAGGCTGAAGACCAGGCCGTCCTCCCAGATCTGGGGGCCGGCATAGATCAGCCCCCTTATGTTCTCGACCTATTAAAAAAGGTTATTATGCAACTCTCAAGATATATATGAAATCTCACTTGGGTTTTACATGTTCAGGTTTTGGTTTGATATTTACTTTTGAATAACTCCATGCATACTGACGTTTATCCTACTATATGCTTGCTTTGTCTATGTTGGAGTAAAAATTAAAATGATTTATGCACCCCCATCCATTTTTACCATGGATTAGGCATGTAAAACAATTTTACCTATTTTACTCCACTGAATATCGAACATAGATGTAATTCCTGGTTGGTGTGTTTGGTCCACTCAGATGAAGTAAAACAACCAACAGTGAAACATAGAGCTTAAACGATTTCACACTGTTTAGGCTGCTATATGAAATCAATGGCTTAGTCTAAGGGTACCAATGTGCAATTAAACTATTTCTTATTGTATAATATTTTTTGTTTAATTTCCCATCATGAGTTAAAATCCCCTTCTCATAATTATGTAAAAAAAGACTCATTCCCCAAACGTAGATATATTTTTTTGTTTAATACTTTTTTTTTCTTCTGTACTACCCATTATCTTTTTTAATTTTAAAATAAATTTAAATTTAAAAAAAAAAAGACTCTCGCAGGCCTGCGGAGAGGCTAGTATATATATATATATATATACAATTTAATTGATGAGAATTAATGCAAATGACTGATATTTAACCAGGGCATAATTATCAGAGTAGCGTAACCGTTTCATTGGGGAAGTTTTTTGGGAGGCGTCTTCTTCCGACCTTTTCGCTTCGCTCTTTCTCTCTGTCGGTGTATAGGGTTTCGAACAAAAATCAACAGCACGATGAATAGAAACCTCAATGGCGAGGCTGATCATCAAATTCTAAACAACGTCGACAACGTCGTCGTAATATTAGAAGAAGATAAAATCACTTTCCGGAGTCCCTTCCCTAGATCGCACGGTACCTTCTCTTTTTCTTTTTGTAAATTTACTGAGAGAACCCCTCCTCTGCCTCCGACGTCGACAATCTCGAGATTTCTAAATTTACTATCCTTGTCGCCTATGAGCCTTTGCGTTGTATTTTGCAGCAACTGATGTTCAAGAAGCTTGGCCGGCAATGGAATCTGCTTTAGCAGGGTTTGGCATGACATGTGTTTTGAATATGGTACATGTGACTCTTGTATATTTGAGTTTTTTTTTCTCTCTTTGTTAACTAACGTAGGTTGATCACTGTTTTTCTTAAAAACATATTTTTAGGATCAGTATCTCATCACATTCGTTGCACCCAAGCATTTGAATCGGGATGTTTCTCGCAACTCTAAAATACTTCTTCGACTTTTGTCAGTGAGAGTTCCTGCACTTCAGGTACAAATTTCTTATCTTTTGTTATTCTGTCTTGTTGCTAACGTATGAGATATTCTTTTCTCACCAAACTGATTTTTAAAGCTATTCTATTGAATTTCTGATTTCAGGCATTAAGAGTAATTGACGAAGCGCAAGGTGACATCATCTACACTGGGTTTCATGAATGGGGGCTTTGCAATTATTATGAGATCAATATGGTGGGTTTTGCTTAAATTTATTTCCATTATAATTATGGGAATATGCAAAATCTCAGTTTCCTGATTTCTCTTGTGGTGTGCAGGATAAATATCTTAAGCGGAAGAAGTTTCTCACGGCTATCCCAGAAAAGGTACATAAATCGCTGTAGATCGAGTTTAGTTCTTGCTGCTTGTCTTCTCTAATTTCTTCTGACTGACAATATAACTGGGATGTAGGAACTTGGACAATTAACGGGATGTGATGTGTATGTACGCCCCATGGTTAGTGTTCCTTTCTCTTCTTTTGATAGTTGTATTGTAAATTTATTATTCTGGTCTTCCCACCTACGCCTCCAGGTGAAGCGAGAGAATGCTGAATTTAATGCCTTTTGGTTTTAATTGAATAGAATGATGTGGTCGCCGCTATAGGTCCACTTGGAGGGTTGAAGATAGTCAGGAAGCTTGTGACCGACAGCATTGTTTACAAAGTGGATCCTTTATCCTTTATGAGCAAGTATAAACTTCAACTTCAAAAGTTGAATAGCAACGTCAACTGCGAGGCCGAGCAGCAAGACCCAATTCCAAATGACGTCCACCACTACATGCCCATGGAGATCGAAAACTCTGGCTCTTCGTCGGACGAAGATTATGAACAAGTCACCGTAATAGTACAAGAAGATATCATCACTTTCCGGAGTCCCTTCCCTAGATCCCAAGGTACCTTCTCCTCATGTTCTCTCTCTTTTTTCTTTTTTCTTTTTTTATCGTTAGGCTGCTTGTAAATTTTCCGGAGTCCCTTCCCTAGATCCCAAGGCACCAACCGAATCCCCTCCCTCCTTCTTTCTTTCTCCTCCCCACTCCTCTTTCCCTTTTTCTCTCTTCTCTCCTTTTCCCTCTCCACTTTCACTCTCTCTGAGCATTGGGACGCTGAAGACCTTCCCGTCCTCTTTCACCCTCTCTCTTTGATCCAAAATTCTCTTGGGACCTGGACGGGACTTTTTCCATTTGGCCTCAGCACGAAATATGTTCTCTGCCTTGTAAATTTTTTTTTATGCAACTCTCAAGTATATATGAAATCTCAGATTGTTTTACATGTTCAGGTTTTGGTTTTACTATATTTGTTGGTCTCTCGTAGTAGCCTCAATTTTGAATTATAAAATTTGGGCATCCCCATCCATTTTACATGTTCAGGATTAGGCATGTGAAATTAAACTCTTTCTGTTTTTGTAATGTTTTTTACTCAATTTCCCATCAGTTAAAATTTCCGTTCTTGAGATTTTTAAAGTATGATTCTCTACTATCATAATTATTTAAAAGAACAAAGCCTTGTTGCCTATGAGTCTTTGCGATGTATTTTGCAGCAACTGATGTTCAAGAAGCTTGGCCGGCAATGGAATCTGCTTTAGGAAGGTTTTGCATGACGTGTGTTTTGGATATGGTACATTATAATAAATATAATGTTGTTTTTAAATCTGTTGACTCTTGTATATTTGAGTTTTTTTTCTCTCTGTTTACTAATGTGGGTTGATCAGTGTTGTTTTTTTGTTAAACATATTTTTAGGATCAGTATTTCATCACATTCTTTGCACCCAAGCAGTTAAGTCGGGATGCTTCTCAGAACTCTAAAATGCTTCTTCGACTTTTGTCAGCGAGAGTTCCTGCACGTCGGGTACAAATTTCTTATCTATTGTTATTCTGACTTGTCCCTAACATATGAGATATTCTACAAGTTCAAATGATTTTAAGTTGTTGCTGAAGTAGTAGGGTATTTATCTATGTTCCTCCAATGCAATTCCATTGTCACAAGGCGACAACATGTCAATAATACTGATTGCAGAACGAATACTAACCACACATCTCTTCTTAAAGTTTTCATGTTAGAATATTTACATCTCAATGAAAACCTCGAAGTATTTCTTTTCTTGTCAAACTGATTTTTAAAGCTATTTCTATTGAATTTCTGATTTGAGTTATATTGTTTCCAGGCATTAAGAGTACTTGACGAAGTGCCATGTGACATCATCTACACTGGGTTGGGTAAATCTGGGGTTTGCACTAATTATGGGATCAAGATGGTGGGTATTGTTTAAATTTATTTCCATTTTAGTTTTTGCTGCTGCCCTGTCTGTCAATTTATTTGGTTCCTGAAAACAAATCTAAGTTATTAAACTCTATCCTCTACTAATTTTCTATTTCTTCTTTAGGCGGGAAACATAGTATTATCTCTGTAATGCTGGGAATATGATAATCTCAGTTTCCTGATTTCTTGTGTGGTGTGCAGGATAAATATCTTAAGCGGAAGGAGTTTCTCATGGCTATCCCCGAAAAGGTGCATAAATCGTCGTAGATCGAGCCAAGCAACAAGACAAGTTGAAGAAGCCGGGGCATGACCCAATTCCAAACGACGCAGACCACCACATCTCCATGGAGATAAAAAAACTCTGGCCATTCGTTGCACGAAAATACTGTAGAAGTCACCGTATTTGCAACAGAAGATATCGTCTCTTTCCGGTGTCCCTTCCGTAAATTCCAAGGTACCTTCTCCTCTTGTTCTCATTCTTTTTTTGTTGTTGTTGTTGTTAGGCTGCTTGTAAACTTGCTGAGAGACCATCCTCAGTTGCCGGCGGCACCAGAGCCGCCCATGCCCCATCCTCTCCCTCCATCTCTCTCTCCTACCACTCCTCTTTCCCTCTTACTTTCTACTCTCCCTTTTCCCTCTCTCTATCCTCTCCTCCTTCCCCCTCTCTGAGCATTCAGCGGCTGAAGACCCGGCTGACCTCTGATTTCTAAAGTATGATTCTTTACTATAATAATTATTTAAAAGAACAAAGCCTATGAGCCTTTGCATTGTATTTTGCAGCAACGGATGTGCAAGAAGCTTGCCCGGCAGTGAATTCTGTGTTACGAGGGTTTGGCATGGCATGTGCATTGGATATGGTACATTAGAATAAATGTTGTTTCGAAATGTGGCAACTTTTGTATATTTGAGTTATTATCTCTCTGCTAACTACTGTAAGTTGATCGCCGGGTTGTTTTTTAATTTTTATGCTTATGGTTAGAATCGGGCTTGCATCACATTCTTTGCACCCAAGCCTATGAAGTTGAATGCTTGTCGCAACTTTAGAGTATTTCTTACACTTTTGTCAGTGGGAGTTCCTGCACGTCAGGTACATATTTCCTATCATTCGTTATTCCGTCGTATTGCTAACCTATGTCCTGTTCTACAAGTTCAAATGATGTTAAGTAGTTGCTAAGGTGTTTGAAAAAAAGAGATAAAAAGTTGTTGCCAAGGCAGTAGAGGGTTGTGTTTAAGAAAAAGATAAAACGTTGTTGCCTAACGTCGTAGGTTATTTATCTATGTTCCTCCGATGCAATTCCATTGTCACACAAGGCGACAGGTCAATAATATTGGTTGCAGGATGAATAGTAACCGCACATCTCTTTTTAAAATTTTAATGTTAGAATATTTACATCTCAATGAAAACCTCGTGTTCAATTTATCTATGTTAAAAACTTATGATGACATTTCCTTTTGCTTGAAACCTAAGTGTTTCCTTTCTCACCAAACTGATTCTCAAAGCTATTTGTATTGAATTTCTGATTTGAGTTTTCATAATATTGATTTCAGGCAATAAGAATACTTAATGAAGTGGCATGGGACACCATCTACACCGGGTTTGGTAAAGAAGGGATTTGCCGTAATTATGGGATCAAGAATCTGGTATTGCTTTTATTTTATTTTATTTTATTTTTGCTTTCCTGAAAACAAATCAAATTTATTAAACTCTTTTAGCATCTATCATTTATGTTCTTACAAGTAGTTCTGATGGATCTTGTAACCTGGTGATTAGATTATTATTTTTTTGGAGCTTAATTAGATAGGTTTGAATGAGTTAGGGTTTAGTGAAACAAGTATTGTTGTGAGGATGATATGAGGAATATGGTCTTCTGATGTTGTGCCTCTTGGCTCCATGAAGAGTCAGACTGAAGACGTCTCTGTAATGCCAAGAATATACAAAATGCTTTCTTTTTTGTTTCCCTAATCTCTTGTATGGTGTTGCAGGATGACTATCTACAGCGGAAAAAACGTCTCAGGGCTATCCCCGAAAAGGTGCATATATAAAGCGTTGCAGATGGAGTTTAGTTCTTGCTGCTTGTCTTTTCTCTAATTTATTCTGACTGACAATATAATTGGGATGTAGGAACTTGGACAATTCACAGGCTGTGAAGTGTATGTCCGCCCGAGGGTTAGTGTTCCTTTCTCTTCATCTGATGGTTGTTTTGTAAATTTATTATATTCCGTTCCTCCCACCTCCACCTCCAGGTGAAGTGAGAGAATGATGAGTTTAATGATTTTTATTTATTTATGTTTTTGAAATTGGATAGAATGGCCTGGTGGCTGCTATAGGACCAGTTGAAGGGTTGAAGGTAGTCAGGAAGTTTGTGACAGACTGCATTGTTGATAACGCGGATCCTTTATCCCTTATGAGCCAGTATAAATTTGTACTTGAGGTGAGCGAGTGTTTTTTCCGGTTAAATATATGTTGAGAGGTTGAGAATGTTGGATTCTGCTAATGAGATGCTGGTTTTATTATTTAGTCCATGTTAGTGTCTGAGATGGGTTTTTTTAAACCTGATTAGTGGAGTGGTGGATGGAATTCTGTTTCGTTGTAATGACGTGTTTAAATACTTTTTCTGCTTAACACTCCAACAATTACCCAATTCTGTTTGAACAAAATAAGCTTGCAGACTACAGAGTTTTTATGAAAAATAGCCAAAATTTACCTCTTATTTTCATAAATGTCAATTTTTAAAAAAACTTTCAAAAATAGCAAAATACTCACCTAAATAGACTCAAATGCTCTCAAAACTAAAAGGCTTCCCTACAGTGCCCCCAAGCCTATATATCTTTCACTGAGTTGCATAGCAGTACAACTGCTGGTACAAGCGCAAGTCATTTGAATCATGATCACCCTCAAAATCCTGTGTTTGATGACTTCTAATTGCTTTGATGGTACCTTCCTGTTCCAATGATATAACATTGATCGAAACATAGGGGAGTTTATAGGTTGGAAATCATATTCATGGTTCAATCCTCCAATAATTGATTGAATTTTTGAAAGTTATTATAAAAATTGACATTCCACATATCTCCCAATCCGACTGTTTTTATTTTATTTATTTATATATAAATATTATTATTTAGTTTTTTAACTTTCTCAATTCTCTAAATAAAATGTTATACTATGATGATAGACTAGAATTAATAACATTACTACGTGTTATAATGAAAAATTAATTCTTATAAGGATCATAAACATTTTTTCTTCATTAAATATAATTTTAATAAAAAGAATGTATATATAATGATTTTGCCCCTTTATGATTGAATTTGGCAATAAATGTTGTGAACTTTTTAATTTTAGAGGTAATAAACATAAATTAATAAATCGATTTTATCCCATAAATAAAGAGAATTGTTACTAACATTCTAAAATAGTTATTATCCAATCTTCTATTTTATGCAAAACTATTGTTCTGAGGTGTCTATGACAAATTTAAACTTGCTTCCCTAGGCAAGATTTGAATTGTCTCCAGCCATTTTGCGAAAAGCGGGTGGCAAAATGCAGGATCTCTTGAACCAGGACGTGGGTACTCAACTGTCTTACAAGCTCTATATTGTTCCTGCAAAGGCTATAGTTTAAGCAGATGCAGATAGCAACTGCTTGCTCCTGCTATTCTAGAATGATGGGATCAAGCAGATGCAGATGGATCACATCTTCTGCCAGTGCTAGTTTAAGATCCTTATAAGTGATAGAGGCTCCCTCTGTATTGCAACTATGTTTTAAACAATAAGTGTTTACCACCAAAACAATGAATTAAGAAGTGTAAATGCAAAAGCACAAATGATGACCATGAACTGTTTTGAACATATAGAGATAAAAAAAATTCCTCCTCATGAGAAGAAGTTCTCTTGATGCACAAGCTCTAAAGAGTGCCCATTTAGAAGGAGAAAACACACTGAAGGAATGAGCATATTCTTATGATTTTGGGACTTATCGTCTGTCTGTATTAGATCCTCATCTAGCTTCTTCCCAAAAGAAGATGCGCGCATTGAATTTTTTTTTAGAACATATAGTTTGTTTGTCCAAATGTGTGATTGATCCTTTTTAGAGATTACCTGCAGAACCAAGATGTTAACTGTTGCCTTAATTTGAAGAAATGAGAGCATGGAAAGATAAGCAAGTATCATAAGCTGCAATGCACTTGCCTCTTTAAGGAAATCAGCAACCCCTTTCCTCTCAGGACACTTAAATCCTCAAAAAATTCTAGACATCATCTCATGGACCATGACAAACAATCTTCCCTTCTCGCATTAAAATAAGGTCATCAAAGAGTTCAAAGGTCTCCAGTGCATTCTGAAGAAGAGAAACCAGTAAAGTAGCATCTGTTATATATATGCACCAGCTTCTGAAGACAAGCAACAATCTGGAATGATGTGGAACTG